TTAAACTAATGACAAATTTATTGGATGTTTGTACAACTGGCTGTAAGACTTTCACTATGTTGAATATTTTTATTTATACATATCTATATCTACACTAATATTAATGAAAATGGGAGTGGCAGTTTGTATAGGGAATAAACCGTTACCATAGTAACGATTGTTTTACTTTTTAATTTGTCATTGTTATTACATCCGTGTCATCATGTCACGATATGAATCGATATCCAAAAAACAATTCCCTAGGTATCACGCGGGTTAAGCCACTGGCGGAAAGCTAGTATTTAATATTATATAGTGTGGTGTTACCAATTATATAAAAAATATCAATATCAGTAAAGAGCATAAAATAAAACCGACTTCAAACTCTAGAAAAGTGATTAAGTAATATCTCAAAAGCGACTTATTCAAAAAAATGCTATTAAAGTCGGGCACCTATCATTGCATTAATAAACTTACAGAAGTTTTCCTTCATATGTTTGAAAGTAAAAAGGTTATGTTTTAAATAGAAAAGGTATTTTCATCTATATAGAATAATATCAAACATTTTCTCGAGATCTATTGCAAACTATTCAACCCATTAACTTTCATAATCCGAACGTTTTATCAAGCTACATGAGATCTCAGCGAGACTTTAGAATCAGCATTGTTTCATTCATTCTAATATTATAAACAGAAAAGAATCGCTTGTATTTTTTGCATTGAATAGACTCTAAAACCACTGGATCTATTTTAAGAATTCTCACACCTACGTATGCCTACGGGAAGCTACGTATTACGTGGGCGACATAGGCTATAGTTTACGCAAGTGAAGTCTCGGGGAAAAACTATGCTAATGTAAAATTTAAATAAGTTATATCTTTGTTACGACGTACACCGGCCTAAAAATATCACAAATGGAGAAAGCCCTCTGACATTAAGTTCAAGGGCAATATGATTATAAGGATTCCTTTAATGGGATACTTCGTTCCTTTCAAACTTTGTTTCACATTTAAATATTATAGAATGTTACTATGAAAATTACGGCTTCAACATATTCTCATTGCGTGACTGACTATAATTAAACTTTTAGTATCCGCCATTGAGTGCTAATGAAAACTAGTTATAAATGAAATTTATATTGTTTAACAAGTGTTTGTATCATCGATTATCACACACGCAAGTACATAAAGTCAAAATAAATTACTGAAGGGTATCTCTTTAAGAAAGAAAATATACTAGGTATACTTCGATCCGTCTGAGTTGTACGCACGCGGGCAATTGCCATGTCTGAGGTCCCGGACTCGTTCCTCGGTCGGGTCAATTTAGAAAATGATCTTTCACTTTGCATTGTGATCTGGATATTGTGATACATTTGTCGTTGTTTAGGATTTTCACAATAAAAGTGTATTTAAAGGCGATTAATACTTATACATTACATAATTTTATTTATTGATACTCGTGTAATGAACATTGCTTCATTAGAAGTTGTCGATGATCATGATTATTAATAAAATAGGTGTAATTTAATGCAAAACAAACCACGCACTAAAGATGAACTCGAAGGAGCATTCAGTTTACAATTTATGCAAAAATTGGTCATGGGATGGCCGACTAAAAGCTATTAACTTGAATTTCTTAACTCTTCTTTAACTCGCCCCGAATCACTGTTTTGTTATTTTATATATGAGTGGTTATTACATTAGCCACGTCTAGTTTGTCAAGCAAATATGAAAACTAGTACCGACCCGCCTGTGGCGGCACGTGCCCCAGGCTAAATATAACTGCCGTTTACATTCACCAATCTGTACTGACCTACTTGTAGGATTATTCTAATCTCCGTATGTTTCTATGCATAGAAATGCTTTATTGAAGCTAATCTCTAAAATGAAATAGATATTGAACAAAACAAATTAAATTCAAATATAGCCTCTTTAATTCAATGGCAATCAATTTCTTCTTATAATTATGTGCTTCATAGGCGGAAACCTCGTGACAAAAATGTGCAAGAGCTTTCTAAAGTTTGTTTATTTAAGTATGGCACTGATTTAATGAGGCAGTTGTAAATATCAGTTTTGGTAAGTTAAAAATTATAAATAGCACGTTTAATAACTAGTTCAGCAGTTAAAACTAAGCAGTAAAGTACACAAAAAAAAGTAATCAAAAATATAATTAAATGGATCAGTGAATATATAATTGAGCAAGAAAATAATTAAATGAGCGTTAATAAATTATTGAAAGAGCAGTTACGTGTGGGCAGTAATAAATCTAAATTTGTCGGTAAGAAATCTCATTCTAAGCAATTTTATAAACATTGAGGTGGTATAAAAAAAATTGTAATGAAAAATTAAATTACTTTTGCTTTGACTGAAGGAATTAAATAAAACAAATTGTATCATAATAAATTGTATTGTATAATAAGAGACGGTTTGGCTTTCGACGGTCTGCCTCTGTTGCTTTTTTGTCTGAGTGGAATGTTTTTTACTTCAACTGGAGGGATGACGTACTTCAAGCGTATGAACGATCAAATTATATGTTTACACATATATATTAAAGTTTGGGCAAGTACATGTGCCTTGAGTCCATTCTTCTTTATTTTGCAACAATATAACTTTCATGTCCAGTCTTTCGAAGTTATTTCCGGCAATATTGTAAAATAGATTTCAGAAGGGTTCTATGTATACTTTAAGGACCACTCGTTCACCATTTCTTCCGACACCCGCGCTAATAAGCTCCGCCCAACTTATGAACATTTACCTCTCTTTTCAATGAATTTGAGTACGGGTGTCACCGCTCGCCATGATCTGCCGAACTATATATCGAACCGCTCATTCCATCATTTTTACCGCTCATTCAGTTATTGGACTGCTCAATTATTTTTAGAATTGACATTGTATGATAAAATAACCGACTAATTGTTTTTTTTTATTACTGTCCATGTTTTACTGTCGCAATAATTAATCAACCGCCATTAAATTAAATAACTGCTCAATATGATTTTCAACTGATTATAATAACATCTCGTATATTTAAATAACAGATCAAAAAATGAGTTCCCTTTAAGTATGTTGAAGTACTAGGGATATACATCATTCAGTACCCAGTGTGGAAGTCAGGCGCTGGAGCACCCTGGAGGCGGCGCGAAATAAACTTCTAGCGATTGCTGAATAGAATATGTTTGTTCCATTAAATGAACGCCTGAACGTATTTTTATTAACCAACTATTAATAATTTAGTAATAAATTAGTTTTCAACTATTACAAAAATCCTTTTTCGGAGCCCATTTTCACATCAACACATATACTTTTATAAGAGTCGCTTTGAAGCTTAGGTCTCTTAACACAATCACCAAATCAGTTTCATTTCTTCGTTTTATAATTATTTCTTATGTTATGGTTATGTTTGAATTTTCGTAGGTAAAAGAAGCGCGCTGCTGATTCGCGGAGGTGGTCGCAGCGCGCGGTGATGGAGTTGGTAATACTGAAAGCTCGGGCCCAACTAAATCGTCTATTGTCCTCGGAGAAGCGTGCGAAGAGCGGACCGCGCGAGGGGACAGGTACTTTGTTTAAAATTTATCTTAACCTTACAAAAAAATAATTTAAGAAACACAACAATCAGAACACCAACTTCCGCATCTGCAACATCCCTACTGTGTATAGTAGCTCGATGGCTTAGTGGATAAGCGGACGGCGTGGCCCGCAAATCGTTGTTGTTAAGCAACTTTCGCAAAAGTCGATCATTGGATAGGTGACCAAAAGATATTATCTCGAGCTACTCTGTGCTTCGGAAAGAAAGTTAAGCTGTTGGTCTTGGATGCAGTTGTAGTCGAAAATACCCTCCAATCGGCATTGGGCCAACATGGAGGGTCATGTCCTATTTTTCTTACCCATCATGCAGTACGTAAAAGGGCTGATAATTATGATGATGTGTAGACGAAGGCGGCGGGGGCGGTGGCGCGCGGGCGGCGGGGCGCGAGCGCACCATGCCGCCTGCGCCCTCGCCGGCGTCCGCTGCGCCCTGGCTCAACGCCACACTTGCATTCAACGCGACGCGGATCAACCTCACCTTCGACACTGACTACGAGCTGCTCAACGCCAGCTCAACAGACGAGCATAACAACCACTGGTTTTGTGCTAAATGGACCAATGCGCAACAAGATCTTTTTCAAGTACTTAACAGTTGATTGACAATTATGCAGGATTTACATATTAATCTGGCCAAAATGCTTAGTAGCATTTTTGCCTAATTTTCATGACGTAAAGTATTGTTATATCAAAATAAATCAAATATAAAGTCAAATCAATGGACTTCACTATATCTTTTGTTCTGCTCTTTTGCATAATAAAAGTTTATTTATATAGTTATTCATAAAAATAAGTACTAAAATAATTATTTTATTTTCTTGATGAAAAAAGAATATAATTTCGATCACTTCAGCCTTCTTACTCTCTAACGCATTCGCGAACGATTGACTTTGCACTAATGCCGATCCGTACTCTTGATTGGTACTCTAGTGCCAGAGTATGTTAGTGAACTAATCATGAATATGGAGCGTTACAATTGCAATGTTCATAGGTCGCGATTGCATTCGAGAATAAGGGCGCAGGTTTATTTATATGATATGATTATTGTATTATTTAGGCTGCGAATTTATGTTTCGCAATCGCGTTTCTCGCTCCGAAGAGCTTCAAGCAAAGCATTTTGGTGCTTCGCGCACTGGCGGCGGCGGGTGCGGTGCTGATGGGTATGTGGGCGGGTGCTGAAGTGTGTGCGCCTGACGTGATGGCGTGGAGCTTGGCACTAGTCCTCGTTAATTCAATACACACGATATTTTTAATCATAAGGTAAGATTTTAGAGTTCACTTCCTTTAATTTTTTCACACTGGTTTCGTCGTACTTTTTAATCGACTTCAAAAAGATAGAGGTATCATTCCAATTCATTTTTATGTATTTTATATACTCGTAATTTATGATGCATATTGAATACATAGTTGAGTTGACTGTTATGAAGACAATCATGAATGGATTTTAAGTGTTAAATATGCATCCGATCTTTTGAAGGATTACTGGTTATGAGGATGGTTTTCTAATTAAATAATGAAATCTATTTTTAATTAAATATCGCAGGTTCCTCCCGCCGGCTCTCTCACTTGAACTGACTGATTTGTATCTGAAGTTATTTAAACCGCTCAAAGTGAACAAGAAACACTTCCAAGAGTTGACTCGTGAGGCTCGAGTTGTACGGTTCGAACCAGGAGAAGCTTACGCGGTCGAAGAAGTTACCCCTGCTGATGAGAGACTGTCGATACTGTTAAAGGGAAAGTGAGTCTTGGTTGATTTATATTTATTTAGAACACCACAGGTCAGGTTACCACAATATTTGAAATCACTTGAATTTATTTATAACTCAACTTACGTAGAAATAATGTTAAACATAAATTTGGTCATTTTGGTTAACCTAACTTTCTGTTAGTTATACAACACACAATAGATATTTAAATATATAACATAACAATTCAAACATATAATCATAACTGTTAGCGATTTCTTCCAGGCAACTTATATTGTATGATTTTATTTTACCTTCCGTTATGCTCAAAAAAGTAAATATACCGGCGTACTAAAAAATAAGTAGTTGTGTATGATATAAGATTTAATATGATGTCAAATCCCTTAACATGCATTTATGTTACATAAACTAAACTAAATTTAGTTTCAACTGTGAAACTGCATTGGTTACGAAATTACAAAAGTAAAGGATAAAAGACAGTAATTTCTTTATTATTAAATAAGTTATGTCATTATTATAAACTTTCAAATTTATTTAAAGGAATTGGGTAGGTGATACTTTTTGCTCTTATCCCATAACAGTTCATTAGATTTTAACGACACATAGTATATCAAAAAAAAAAATCATAGAAATTATCATTTTAAATAATATTTATAACACTCGAGAGCATAGTATCTACATGATACATAAAATAATTGCATTATTTTGCATTGCATTCAAATTGCATTAAATAACTTTGATTGGTACCCCATCTCTCTAGAATTTGAGATAAATAGTTGATTTAAACTCATATATATTAACACGTATAAATCATTATTTGTGAGTGGTTCAGTAAAAATCTTTAATTTGCACTTTTTATTACCTATCAGGTATTTTTATAAGACAACGTCAAATACATTGCTCAAATTCCAAGATAAGTAGCTAAATAAAGTACTCATATTATCTGTAACAAGGCAGGTACTACAACATTCAACTCGAGACAATGTACTAAAGTTCATTTTCTACATTTACACAACGGGGAATCGATACCGGGTCCTCAGAGGTACCGACAACTTGATACTTCTGAAACCTAACACCCAGGATAGATACCCCGTCGCTTTCCTTCCAAGTCGGCCCGTTATTCAAATAGGTAATTTTTTTATTGATTTTATAGTATAAGACAATTTTATAGTATAGTAAAAGACGATATAGATAAAATAAATTAAAAGAATGTACTTAGGTGAACTAAAGTTTCAATTGGTCAACTAGGTTGTCCAGCGAATAATTTTGTAAGTAACATTAATGGGTTTGGGCGTAGCCTGTAATAACACGCCGTAATACCCTCGCGGACCATTATTAGTTATTACGATCGATGTTAGGTAATTGTTGTTTAGATGAACCACTACTTAATTGATAATGTGTATCGGTAAAATCTTTACTACAAGTCTTTTATGAAGATCGATGGCATGGTGGTATACGCAATCAGTTTCGGAAAAAATTTCGCTATAGGATGAGCCAGTTTTTCAATACCAATAGTGTAACAAGCCTTGTGAAACATATATAGCTCGTGTTAATAAAGTTTTGGTTACCAATCCAATGATCAGTACTCGTCAAAGATATTAAACCTTCGTAAAGCCGACCGAATCTAAATAATACGAAACCGACTGAACAGAATAATTTCAAAATAATCATCTGGAGTGAATATTGCTATTTGAGCCTTGCGACACCCTAGCCGCAACGACAAAGAGAATTCGATAACGATCAAAATGCGAATGATTTTCTCGTTCAACGAAACGTTTGTTGTATAGATGTGTAACTCAATCTTAATAGCTTTCGGTAGAATTGTTTCAGCAATGCTACAATACGAATCACGTATATTACAGAGCGTGAAAACAATAATGTGTAGAAAATTATAAGCATTACTATATAAAGTTCGGGTATATGGTTGATGAGTTATAAAGGGCATTATTTTTGAAAGACCGAGTGTTAAAACGGACTTTTTGAATCTTCCAACATTTTTTGCCTACAGTTCAGCACGCGTACCGTGACGAATTCGAGAATGTTTTATATCTACCCAAATACCACTTTTCTCAGGACCGCCCTTACGATATTTCACTCTCGACCCGAGAAAAATGGCATTTGGTGTAAACAAAGCGATTCTGGACATTGTCAAGCTACGCGTGCAGGACGTCTTTTGGCTGACAAGCAGAAAGAGCGAAAGAAACTAACGAGGTCTAACAGAATTATTAATTAATTGTAACAAACAAGTATCATTGTGATCACGAGATGATAATCACCAATAACGGAACGGAATATTTTAAAGGTTGCCGGTTACAGTATTTTACCTAGTTACGTATTTTCGAAGAACATACTTGCGAAAAGTTTTTCCTAACAATACATCGCAGTCTTTTCAAAAATCCCAGTAACTTCGACAGTAGGTCGTTGAAGTAATGAACTAGTTGAAAAGTTTCAATCCGGCAATGAGCATTGAAAACTATGAAGGCTATTTGATTTCGAAAACAAAAATATTCTTTGTGAGTCATCAAATATTAAATGTTTTTATAATGTAGGTAAATTATGAGTAATATATTTATTCATGATAATCTATATATATAAAATTGACTGACAGACTGACAGACAACGTACAGCCAAAACTACTGAGCGTAGAAAGATGAAATTTGGAATGAAGATTCCTTAGGGAATGTAGAGGCACTAAGAGAGGATTTCTGAAAATTTCACTCCGAAGGGACTAAATTAGGAGATGAAAGTTTGTATGAAACTTAGTTACTACAAGTGCTAGGAGTTTCAAATTTTGCATGCGAGTTTTTTTTAGGACGTAAGTGCTCATTAAGACGGGGTTTTACGAAATTTGATCCCTAAGGGGAAAAATTAAGGGATGAAAGTTTTTATGGATTTTTCTCAGTTCTGGACTCAAAACTAGACCACGCGGGCAAAATCGCGTGCTAAAGCTAGTATAATATATAATTATTTACATTACATCATATAATTTATGCTACGTAATGGAAATGGTTGCCACTCAGAGTAAAGCTATAATAACGGCGATTTTCTATCTTTGATTTCGATTGACACCGTTGCGCGGTTGCGAAGTTTCAACATTAAAATAATATGCGATTTCTAAATACAATATAAATAATACGTCAAATCTCTTTGCAAATTATATGCAAACGTTATTACTTTCGATCAATTTTATATCGAGATTGGAGTTCGAGTTCGAGTCCCATCTTGGTGGTCTCGGGCTGGTGGATTTTTCAATTGAGCATTGAGAATGCAAAATAAATCAAATAATTAGAACAAATTTTCATCTTAATTGAAAAGTAAAAATATTTCTTCTGGCTGTTTGAGTGAATTGTCTGATCATTAATGAATATACGCACACTAGCGAAAAATAACAAGTACTTGAAAAATTCGTCAGTCCTGTCCCGGATAGTTCAATGGTTAGAGCAGTTGCGAATGGTTCTGAGTTTCGAGTTTTTTAAGTATTTTAAATATAAATGACATCTAATGAGTAAAAATATATTTCTCAATTGGTTATTAAATCTCACGGTTGTCTAGGATGCGTGTAAGCTGCGACGAGACACACCTGCACTTTATCCAACCGTATCAGTTCGTAGACTCGCCCGAGTGGGAGGCCAACCGGGAGCAGTCTGATGACGTCTTCCAGGTAAGTTTACATTTTATAATCTCGCCCATTTAAATTACAGCCTATATCACCCGCCTATAATGTAATAGGAACGTAGGTGAAAGGAGTTTTTCATGATCGGATCAAAATCATACACAACCAACGAAAAATATTAGAAACTTTGCCTCTTTTTAATATTAGTATAGATACATTATATTCAAATATAGTTTCAAATTTATTCGAAGTTAATTATCGTCTATAAAAAATAAGCCTTCACAGATAATTCGTAAGGAGATCACAAAAAAGATTAGATACTTTTATTTAAAATACGTAACGTACATATTGTAAGTACACCAAAAATATTAATTATGCACTTAAAATTACAGAATGAACATCAAAGTATATATGATTTTACTGCAGTTATACTTGGTTATAATACCTACTGTTTTGTTTCATATTTACAAAAATTTGCCTCAGTATATTGTATGAAAACGCTTTGGAATATAAAAATATTCCATAGAATTAATATCTTGTGGAAACGTGTCAAGGACATGTGGAGCAGATGAGATGGCGGGTTGATCACATAATCGACGAACCTGAGTCAGTGAATAGGGGATAACGCTGATACATATCGTATACATCCATCCATTTTATTTAACATCTGCGAACAAAATACTACTAGAATAGCGAAATGACTAAATGGGAAAATAATCTTCTTCTGGTGCTTAATTTTTATGGAATAAATTGAACCCATGCTTCACTAAAATTCTATTCTATTACAATTCTAATAGATGAAATATAACTTACATATTAAATTAATTTAATAATTATTTATAAATTACTTCTTGCAATAGTTTATAGGTCACATTTTTTAGAGTTCGATTTTCTTTATTTTACTTGATGTTTCAAAGAATTAAAAAAAAAGATAAACGTACTTAAGTAGCATGTTTTAAAGGATAAATCAACACTAAAAATACTTCTTAGGAATTAACTTATGTCCCAAAAACATGACTCTTTCTTCTCTAAAAACGTATTTTAATATTTATTCACGATTTGAAATAAATTTGTATTATTATATTATTTATTTTATTCCATACTGAACTTATGATACAAGAATATAAAAATATTTCATTTGTGAACTCGGCAGTCTTTCTGCCATCCAGAAAAAAACAAATGCTGTTTTTAAGTTAAGATACTTATTTTAATGTGTAACAGAGCGTCTATATCTCCTTTTCTGTTTTGTGGTCCTTATCATAGTGTGTTCGTGTTTCAGTTCAAAATACCTACATATATATCTTACGCATTGATTTTATCCGCTGTTACTGACAGGTCATGAAATGCACTGAACTTTACCGAGTTGCTACACAAAACAGAAAATACATGTATTTATTTAACTGCTGATCAAATGTTTAATATCTAAATGAATTTGAAATCCATATCGATGTAATAAATAATAGCACATGTTTGTTTGTTTGCCCATATGACTATTAGTATGGAGTAGGTTGGGAGTCTGGAGTTACTACTCGTTGCACAAAAGTCCATCAAAACTTAGTATAAAACGTTTTTACTAATACAAATTTTCAAATTTAGAACATTCATTAGAGATTAAAGTAATCGAGTAGGATTATGAGTAGGAGTAAACTTTTTGCTATAAAAATTAGTCTATTGCCTTGAAACCTTAGAAATTTGAAATATTCGTATTGATAATATGGCTTTAAACTTTGATGACTATTTAACGGAAGTTTTTGCAACTGGGTTTTGTTATTTTAAATAGGTGAAATGAAGCTGTATATAGCAGTTAATGCAGTATCTAATAATTTCAAAAGAAACTAAACCGTGTTCAACGATTTTGTAATTGTGTCGTATGAACTACACTCAACAAGATTACATTTGAAAAACGCTAGTCGGAAGATGGCCATCAGTCCGTACGACATGGCAGTTACAGACTCATAGCAATTCCGTTGCCGCAAATACTTCAATAAATTATTCATGGTATACACCCTAAATACTTACTTAAGGTCACGCTCCAACAGTTCCAAATTTAATGTAAAACTTTTTCATTTGAAAGGTTACTCGAATCCTATCTTTATTAATTACTTATTAATTTATTATTATTGCCAACACATATTTATCAACTTCCCTAATAGAAAGGGTTACATTATCTGTAAGTTAGCGGTTTCTCGTACGTGGTTTTGTCATTATTGCAACGGTTTTCATTACTATTCCATTCCTGTTAATTATAGCGTGATTTCATATTATACCCTATAAGCCTTCCTCAATAAAAAAAATTATATACCACAAAAAAAAAGAAATTCTACCAGTAATTCCTGAGATGATATGCGTTAAACCAAACAAACAAACTCTTCAGCTTTATTATATTAAAGTATAGAGTATGAATTGGAAAAATAAGGTATTTCTTTTTACTAAACCAGTTCAGTTAGTGATTTACACGCGCCCTCTTATGACAAACGCTCCATAATTATTATGAATTTGGCCTGGAAAATGAATGTTAATAATAACCACTTTCAGGTAAAGCCGAGGTGAGTGGTCTGTGGCAGCAGGTGGCCAATTTCATCGTCTCATTTACTCTCCAAGTTAAAATGGCATGAGACATTTAACAGAAAATATACTCACTTATTTTGCTGGGTAAAAGTAGCTTCCTTAATTCAGACTAAGCTTGCATCTTAAATATTTTGTGTTATGTTTTGCTAATAACAACAGTTATTATTAAAAGTGAATTTTGGTTTGGGAGTTTTGTCGATTTAAAATTGAAATCTAGAAGAATTAAAAATGAATATTCTATCTAAACCCTAGCTTTTCTGGCCTCTTAAAATATTATTTCTTGTTTGTTTGCGTCGGCTCCGAAACTACAGAACCTATTTAAAAAACTCTTTCATCTACGGAAAGCTACATCCTACGCGTTTGACATGGGCTATAATTTAAAAGGGCTTTAATATCTTAAAAAATATCTAGTAATATATCGCACATCCAGATCTAAACTAAGAAAATTCAAAAAACTAATGTGGAGGTCTGACAATACATTTGTTTACGTGGCAGGAGCGCGACCACTGTTGATTTAACAAAAGAAAGCTAAAGTTATCTAGCGGCTCATCCTCGAACATTTATTGAATCTGTTATGTTGGATAGATGCGTATGATCACCGAGTATTTGAATATTGTACTAAGTCCAAACTCACTCAAATTTTTGAGTTGTCTCAGTTTAGATCTAGGTGTGCGATATGTATATTAATTGGCACGTGCAGGTGACAGTGGTAGCGGAGGAGGTGTGCACGTGCGTCTGTTGGCCGCGCATGCGCCTCGAGCGGGTGCTGCGACACCGGCCCGCCCTAAAGGTCGTCCTCGACTGCCTCATAGGTCAGTTAGTCTACCTTTCATCTATATTATTCATACATCATTCACGTGAACTATGGAAGACTAAAGAGTTACAGGTTGCCTTCGCTGGCAGGTCAGCCGTAAAATAGTGTCTGTTTTTGGATACCCGGCAATAAATCTTCGGGATAGTTTACGACGATTCAATATTGCAACCTTTTTTTCGAGAAGCAATCGAGCTAGATTACATTTATGTTGAGAAAAAATAGCTATAAACAGAGTTAGACTTTAAAACAGAGAGATAGTATTAAGATGGGAAAGAATTGCGCCTGTAAGTAATTCTAATTACTAAGTAATAAAAAACAAATCTCATTGTGGCATAAGGTATAATTAAAAGTCAACATGTCAACGAAATTTATTTTCACCGAAAAGTTCAATTGGTGGGCAATTATGGTGGGCAGTTACATCTTCGTGAATAAATAAATATAAAATCCCTTTCTAGGTTGTAGTTCTATTTAAAGAACACGTATTTAAATCTTTATTGAGCTAGATCACGAAGGTGTTATTATACAAAGAAAAATAATATTATCCACTCCATCGTCAAAAGTTCGACGTTGAACAAAATAAAAAAAATACGTTCGCACATTTCTTACTATGCTATTGGCTTTCTATGCCATTAGTATTTATAGTCTTCTATATTTATAATCACGTACAGAGATTGACTTGCATTGCAGCAAAATATTTTCTTTTATATAAATGTATGTTTATCATGTTTACTTCGAAAAAAAAAATTCAATTTTTGTTTTTGCAACAGCTTTTGCTATAAAATGTAAATGTGATAAATTTTGTAATCACCCAAGAGAGCAAATAAAGTTTATTTGAAAGGAAGACTGTTTTATGCAAACAGTTTCAGTTTCAACACAATTTCATAATTTGAGATTTAAATTGGATACAGACCAAGTAGTTTTAGGCGTCTCATTGCCTGCCTCTTCCATTAATAGGATTTTGGTTCATAATGTTCGTGGTCAAAAGTTCGGATTGATAGATCGGACCTACTTAGCCTTTTGCTCGTCGAGTAGATCGATATATTAATTCTATTAATAAATAGCACAGACTCCACCACTCAATCAACGAACTAACAGTATAAGGTATTTTCATAAGTATAATAAGGAATTCTTTAAAAAATACATGAAACTATTAAATGTATAAAGCAACTAAATGTCGAAATTTCGTGTAAGTCTCCTTATTTCCAATGCATTTCAAAAATATTCTTTAATTAAGTAACAATACTTGGAATTTTACCGCTCATTTGTAACCTTAAATGGTTACCTTTGTCCAAATGCCCCTTATTCGAAAATAATAACGGTCCCCTAACAATTTCACTGATGGAATCACCGCCACTTGTTCTGTGATTATACGTCAATGACTTGGCGTTTCGGAGCCAAGCTTTTGTAATTTGACTGAACAGTATGTTCCTTAAAGACTTACAAAAAATATTAGTTCTATAAGTAATATTCATATTTGTATCTGTCTTAGAGTTTTGAAAATACGCTAAAGTTATAATACATTTAGATAGTTATTTTAATTCATTATTACTTAGCACATCCGGTTGTTTACATTTGGTACGTTTATAATCGAAATATAAATAGTTTAATAAATTAAGAATAAGGTCTTTCTCGTAACACAAGAAAGAAAAGAAATATGATACAAAAAAATATTAAATTCTAATATTGATTATAAAGAACCAAATATGGAATATTATTGTTCACATGGAATACTGAAATGTTGATTCCTATAATACACCGTTACATTGATAGAAAACATCACTCCATAGCAACCGTCAATATGTAAATGCAGTCAAATCAATAGGAACGGTATGCAAATGAAATGAAACTGCAAATAGTCAAGTTGATTATTGAAATCGAGCACCATCGATGGTGAGAGGTTACATTTACAATTCTAAATAGAGTTTTCCATTTATGAATATGCTTAAAGTGTGAACCTTCAGTCGTGGTTTAATACCGGGAGATATTAATCGTTAGGCAAATCAAGTAGATCGTAATGGATACTATCTTTTGCTGTAAAAAGTCTTAACACCCTTTAGCAAAGTTAGAAAAAGTCTTATAGGTATCAGGTTGACAAAATAATGAAATAGATTATTGAAACAATTATTATTTTTTTAACAAATAAAACACGTTTAATCCTCGACATCATCAACATCAACAGCCAACATTTTAAATACACCTGTTAGCGTTACTATAGAATCAAAAAATATATTGTTTTGAGAGTTATTTTTGCGTTTGTGGATCATTTTGGTGTAACAATGTTGGCTATTCTACATCTTCTTTGTAGAGATAATGCAAAAAGCAAAAATCTACTAAAATACTTATACTCACTTAAATAAATTCCAGGTAAAGATATAACCCATAAGTTGTATTCGGTGAGCGAAGGCTTAACCGCGGGTGCTGGAAGTGATCCAGGCCCTCCGTCACACCTTACCAGGTCCGCCAGTGTAGATGCAGTACATGAAGGTGCACGTGGCAAATTGCGCAGCCTGGCATGGAGAGCAAGGACCACTACTAACAAAGGTACACCATAATCATAATACGTTCCCATCTATAATAATAGCCTTATTAACTAATATACTATACATGTCACCGTAAAACAATAAACATCGTCAGTTTATAAACTGTCTGGTTTAAAATTATTGTAGGTGTAGGTTAAGTTAGATGGGTTAGCTTATAATGATAATTACCTATAATGACATTTAAAAAGTAATAAATAAATATTAAACAATATCACATACATTGCTCAGTTTCCAAGATATGTAGCTAAAGCACCCGTGTTATGAAGTATCTGAGACAACGAAGGTAACATAACACTCAGACCCGAGACAATATAGAAAAGTTCATTTTCTACATTGACCCGACCGGGAATCGAACCCGGGACCTCAGAGATGGCGAAACCTTGAAACCGGCGTGCGAACCACTCGGCTATGGAGGTCGTCTATTACTTTTTTAACAATTAACTCTTTTTTTAGATTATTGAAGTAATTTTAAGGTGACATTTAAAGGGTAATTTTTCAATCACTGCATCAGGACCGCTGGGTAATGTTTCATTAAGACAGCGCGGGTCTTATTTCGTCTTATATAGTTAGTGAACGAACTAGTTCGAAGAAACGCTCTCAAAGAAGAACTACGCGAACTAGTTTCCCACGTTTCTCGTTCCGTAGTTCGTGAGAGAATGAGTAAAGATGAAGTTAATCGAACTAATGACTTCTCGCCCACAGTCGCCCGGAACTGTCACTATAAAATTTTATAATTTCATTTATGTTTTTTGTGTCAAAAACTTGATCTATATTTAGTGTTCAAAAATCTTGTCGTAGTAGGAGCAGAAGCAAAACGAGCGAACAAACTGCCATAGAAATAGATTGTTCACTCATTTAAGAACTGTTCCTGTTGCAAATAGCGTAGAGCTCGGAATCTACACGAACTAAAGAACTAAAATAGCGAACTAGTTCGTTTAAGAGACACGAAGTAATTTATTCTTGATTTATTCTTAACAGTTGCGAATCATTACGCCTAAGACTAATCTGATTGTCATGGGGATTTGTGAAGCCTTTGTCCAGTATTCCTGACATGATTATAATATATCGAATATATAATATCGAGAGAAGAACTTCTTGCTTCTATTACGTTAAACTTAAATGCGGTCAAACATTCCAGGGAGCTCGTACTGGCAACCGGTGGTGGCTCGGCAGTTCTTACGACAGTCACCGTTCGGGCGCAGCGCAACACAACCGCGACTGCTCCCACAGGCGTCATCTGCCAGTTTGCAACCTAGTATCACGGGTATCACAGGTAATCCTCATCCTGAACTTCCGCCTACTTTTTCTTCCGAAGTCAATACAACAACTACTCGTAGAACTTAAAATGGTTTCGAACCACCGTCCACGAACTCGAATCCCATAATTCTACATTGAGTTTGGTATCGAATGGTTTATTAAAATTACATAATTTACTTAAACTCCGTCTAACTGATGTGGTCTGATATGAGGCAAGTGAACTTAACACTAGGTAATATATTTTAAAATAATTTTGTGTAAGGTAATTTCTGCCCATTCTAGTCAACAACCAACGAGCCCTGAATGGTAAGGAAGAAACGGGTTGTTCAAAAGAGTTTTATATTGCCACCATCTAAAGCCAATCTAGGTTTAAATAAAGATAAGAATTTAAATTTGTGACCTGTGAAAACTACTCGTAAAATTGTTGTAAATTCAAAATTGATCGCAGAATTGTCTATTTATGTTAGTAAGTCACCTGCTGTTGCTGCAACGCTATAAACTTTGAGTGCGTACCGGATACAGGTCGACGCTATCGTATTTCTATCTCCAGCTATGCTATTCTTTTATAAAAACAACCTACAACTAGACGACGAGCGTCGAATTCAAGGCTATTTTTTAACAGAATAGTACGGAGAGTACGGTGTTATAAAATGATGCTTCTTTTTGATTTTTAGGTGGAGGTGGAGCTCGCAAGCGAAGTCCTCCGCGGCGGTCTGCGTCGTTCAGGCGCGGTCGGGAGGTGAAGTTTGCAGAGATGGAGACGACGCCGACGCCGACGCCGGCGGTGTGACGTGGGCCGCGGCGCCAGCACGAGCTGGTGCCGCTGCGAGCCACAGCCACCATAGATGACACGCCCACGGCCGATTCACCACCGTCGCTACCGAGGTATAAAACTGATTTTAGTGTAACGCGGACCGTTCGCGCTGACATCTACACGCACGTAGCTATGAGCGCAAACTGTCGGCGCTTACTCGTTTCAGTGTCGTGCTGCAGTCCAATTCTGCTAATGTTTACGTAATAATCGCATCTCTATAAAATACTAATCGCTGCCAAATACAGATATATCCAATCCTGTGAGTGTTCAAATTGCTGCAGTGTATTATTTATGCAAAAAGAAAGAAGCGACAACGAAAAATATGAACATGGCATGTTCATTCACTTTTACTCAAAGATTGCTGGTGGGTACATTCGTGACATTGTTCAAACAGTTGTCACTCTTTGAAACAGAGTTAAAAGGGATGACGATATCAAGGTCATTTACGCATATTAACGTCAAATTTGACGCGTTAATTAATGGCAAAGTTTGGTGATAACTTACCACGATGCTTGTTTTTGGCAACTTCATTTTTGTAGAATGAATCGGATGGATTCAACCACTTCTCCTGCGAACATAGCCAGTCCACATGACTGTACACGCTGACGGCGTCCGCTTGGCTCTACATTAGAACGCTCGTTGAAGGCGCGCGCGCGATAGTCCGACGCTCATCAGCGCTGAGCGGTCAGTGTGATATGATTGCGAATGTATGGAACTTCAGCAAAAGCCTGTCATCAGATATGTGACCAGTATTGTTCTTTCGAACTACGGAAGACATGATTAACTATAACTTATTAACGTTCATCAAACGGCAATGGGATCACGTGGTTGTAATCCGTTTTCAAACTAAAACTCTCGTTTAATCCTGATTGAAGAGACGTAACAAATGAAATAAAGTATCTTTCGACCTTTGTCATTTGGATAATTAACACAGCTATGTTTCTTCCTATAGCTAATAAGGGATCTTAAATAGGAAGCTTATAATCATTGTTTTTATTTTAAGAAAGAACATCATTATTTAAGTCAATAACGACGATCGATAGGTATTCATTAGCCGTGCATCCTATAAATATTTTATTAATGCAAGTGAATATTATCCTCCCGAATTTAATGATGATTTACTAAATACATTAACTAGCTTGTATTTTTTCCATATTTTAATCATTTATCCAATAGCTTACATAGATCTGTTATAATATATGTGTAAATTAAAATATAAATTTGACACAGGTTCACCTGACCGGAACCGGAGCGAACGACGACGCCACCGCACATGACTGATTTCTAGATGACTCTGCTTAAGGCTAGACGGCCCCCGTGGATACAGTAGCGGTCTCTAACACGGGCCATCCAGCCTAATGAGGATGAGGGTATGGCGGCTCATTAAGTGACATTCAAATAGAGCTTCTATGTGTTACTGACAATTAACTTTTATGTGCGGAGCTTTCCTTTTACGTTCGCTCGTTGTGTAAATTAAAAAAACATTAAGTGCGAAGTGACCGCACTTTAGATAAGTGACTTCCGGTTTTTTAAAAGTGATCGTGTCGATAACGTAATAATATTAATTATCGTGTGACAATGTAGATTAGTTTAGCGTTAAATATATCAAAAGTTGCGTTAAACCATAACACGCGATAACACTCAGCGGCCGCAACCAATCTTGCAGTCAAGTGCAACTATTGTGTAGGAATCCAATGAGTTTTGTGCGTAGTGCCGAACGCTGATTTAATTTATTACCTATTATGTACCTATGGAATTGCAACTATAGTTTTAGTGAACTATAACTCAGATGTGGAATTCTAAACGTAATTTAATGTTATAATGACTATTGTTTATTATTAGCTAATAAGATGTGTTAAATTCGTGATAAAATATTAAAAGTTACTGCGAGGATTTATATTCAAATATATTGTTCAATAAAGATATACCTATTTTCGTGCTCCTTTTTCTTTAACTCGAACTTATTAATTAACTATGGCCAATTTATTATCGACTTGCAATTATTAGTATCTTTATATTTAACATTTAAATTGCAGTTTTACACTACTTTTGTATGGGCACGGATATCAAGGATATAATCGATATTGTTGTTTATATATAAAAATGTATCTGATAATCGTGGGGCCTAAATTAATAATAAATAGAACTACCAGCCACCACTTTTAATGTTTTCTTGTATTCGTTTACATTTAGTTGCCGAAAAATCTTCCATAAATATTATTGTAGCAATTCGTTGAAATGATTAACTTTGACAATTTTTTTTTAAATTAAATTACTGTGTTCCTACAACGAATGTAAAGTTCGGAGAGTGGATGAAGATTGGCCAGTTACGAATTGGCACTTTGTGTTAAACCATACTTATAATAAGATAGACTAATTATCTCAGAGTTTAATTACAGTGTCAAAAGTATCATATCTTTTCTCTGTGTCTAGAAAATATACCAAGAATAAAATAATTCGCTCGCTGTTGATGTTCAAATGCACATTTGGAATATGTCACATTACAAAGATAATTGGAATAATACTTGTTGACGTGCTTCTAGAGGGCTTTCGGAGATAGACTAGAATTAATTGATATAGTTCGCAATGGCGGATCCACTAAGCACGATAGACATGCCCACAGCCCTAATGGACTATGTGATATCACACTTTCAGGGTCTATTGAAACCGATAGACCGATTTGATTGGACAAAATCCAGTGATTATTTCCGTTACTAAAACAAAGTCCTGATGAGCGAAAAGAATATAATGAACGCTGACGAATCATCATGAGCGAGTTTATTCTCTGAATGGCAGTTAACCGATTTTCGGATACACTATAACCTATTTTGAAGGCTGGTTCCGCCTCTGCAGTACTATTCTGTTATAAAAACAGCTTCGAACTAGACCATGTCATAGCATTGAGGTTCAATCGAGTAAACCTACTTCAAAAGGTTATATAAAAGTTTTATTTCATTGAAGGTCTATGCTGTGACAGAGCTGACAGAGATCCAGGGTGCTTTATAACAAAATAGCATATCCGAGTTTAAGTTTTTTGACGTTTACGTTAACCATCGACCGTGAGCGTGTTAAGATTTTAATATGGAAACCGGTACAGACAGGGTTGCCACCTTTTCGGGAATAAAAATCGGGACAATCAAGTAGTCATCAGAGACGTTTGGATTAGTTCGAAGTTTGGTCTAGTCATGGTCCAATCCAATATAACCCATAAGACGGACTACAGAAAATAAAACTAGTTTGTGATCTAATGTGTATTTATTTTTAACCGACTTCAAAAAAGGAGATTCTTAGTTTAAGACCATCCTAATCGGCCATTTAGTCTAGCTTTGAGCTAATCTTTATACATCAACGTGCCATTTTTCTACAAAAATGTTTAATAAAGTCATATACGTGCCATCAAATATTGCCATCCAATAACTCTTAATTTACTACAAAAAAGGTATTTTTTTTCTAATTGTACATTGAATTTCATGATTGTACCCAAAATATTTTGCCACATGCCACCAATGGCACGTGTGCCATTAGTTCGCCATCCCTGTCTAGCTAATCACGATCTGACATAACACAAAAAAGAATGAAATATATATATATTTTTTAAACAAGAACCAACTTCAAAACTTAAAAGTAAAAAAAAGAACAAAACTAAACTATTAAACTAAACATTAAACTATTTCCGTGTGTATTTTTTATTGCTTCGGGCTGCTTTCAATAGTTCTACGTCATTTTTATATTTGTTCACAAATTCTGAACAAGATATGCCTATGTTGAGCGAAATTAGCAATTCTGCTTTTATTAAATCTACCGAGCAACGATTTCTGATATTAGACCATTTCATGGTCATTAGTGAAAATACTCGCTCAAAATATGCATTTGAAGGAGGAATCCTTAAAGCACGAGATACAACATTAAATAATGCGTTTAACTTTTGCTCCTTTGCGGCTTTACAAAGGCGAACGCGGTACATGCGGTAGATGGCACGCAACCGAGTGAGCTGAGATCACATTATAGTATTATCAAAAATCGGGACAAAATCGATAGGCTGTCGGGACGCAGGACAATGTCTTCGAAATCGGGACTGTCCCGACAAAATCGGGACAGGTGGCAACTCTGGGTACAGAGCCCCTAGGGGTAACTATTAAGAACTACATACTCCATACAAATTCTTAACGAGCTCGCTAGTGAACGAGTTAACGTAAAACTTACAATTACCAGTTTGATCAGCCGTAAGCTCTACTTTAGGTGTATGTTAACAACAGCACGATACTTCACGTCGATGTTTAGTTGATGTTGTCGCTTCGTTACTGTACGTGTCGAAATAGATGAGCAATTAGTGTTCGTATTTATACTGTCAAGCTGTTGCTTGGACAGGCAGTGCGTTAACATAGTATAAAGAGAGATTAAAACTTAAATAACAATCCAGTAACATAAAAAGAGTCTAAAAAACAATACAGTCCCTATCGAAATCGTTAATCTGATAATATTTATAATTCCCTCTATAGGTCGTATAAAAAAAGCATCCATTTTTTTATGTAAAAATAATACTTAAAATAATTTCCAATAGTATTTTTAAACATTGGCACACAGTTGTTCTTGCATTCAAAGCAATGCCTTCTCAATAAGACACCGACTAGATTGCAATGTTGGCATTTCATTTGGCTATTCTATTTGACCTTTTGGAACTTCAAAGTATTGTAACCAACGCTTAGGCTTATATTATACTTTACCCGGTTTGGTCTTTAAAAAAATGTATTACGGCAAAACTAATATCGTCTAAACTAACACCTGTGGTATATCAAAGTTCAATTTCTCGTTACTCTTAAATTGGCCAAAAGCGACATAATAGTGGTAGGGCAATTTGATTTATCAACCAATCTTTTATGATAACTTGCCAAATAGGATCAATAAAAAATGCATTTTAACTTTTTAGCCAAATAAAGTGCCACCATTACATGTAATTTTCCTAATCAAAATGTTACAGAGAATTATAGAGACATAAAAAAAAAGCTTAATATCATGGGATTATTCAGGGTGTGTTGTGTACAAAAATACTAGTTGTACGATGTCTCTTACGTATACATATCGTACATTTTCTTGTCTCATCTCGTTAGTTACTGTAGTGTCTCGGTGGGCTGTTTTAATCTAATTTCCATTTAATTACGAAGATCCATGGTATACAACCATATAATTCAAACAACTCTTAATATTTTGCTGTAGAGAAATATGCGATTTGTCTTACTTTAGTGAACGCTTATCGAGATGTCCAGGACTGCAACCGTTAAGTATTATTATGAAACTGTAAAAATTAAGGATGGGGACAATATCGCATTTTCTCTCAAGTCATTTGCACTATAAATAAAATTGGCCTTTATCTTATGATGTATTTAAATAACATTGTAAAAGGCTAGTGAAATTTTGATAACTAAACAACTAGAATTGAAAAAATATATATATAAATTGATAAGATGTATAACGTTCACGTACTTGTGTATAATCATTGTGCTTGTTGCATTTTATAACAATAATATTACCTGTTTTTGAGTTTTCGATGCGGATACCTACGGTAGAGTCGAGTGGGCAAGAGTGCGCACATTGTGTTTATATTTCTGAAAAATATAAAAAAATTATAAATATGACGCGATTTGGCAGGCGTCCGTCGCGTCCTATAACTGAAGAGGTATAAAGGTGAACGAGAAAAGAATTCCCGCTCTTTCTATTTTTTTTTAGTTACTAGTTATGTGGACACTTAGCCGTTGCGCACATACCCACATGACTATCATTTAAGAACGACACGCAATGACGACTCATCAAATAAATTATAAAATGTACGACGACATCGTATTAAAACAAAGACATTGTTATAATATAAACCTGCTAACTGGAATTGTAATTCTTCTTATGCAAAGTAATAATTTATTTATAATGTATAATTAAATTTTTGTAGAAAAAAATAATATTATAATATTTACGGAGACATTATTAAATTTTTCATTATCATTATTGATTAGCCAATGTTATTCTGTCTTCCATTTTGTTAAAATTAGAATCCTGATCTGTAATGCACATATTAAAATTTATAAAAATATAAACTGCAAAACTTTGAAATCTTTTTGGTTGTTTAACGCGTGTTATTAATAATCTCACATAAAATTACTGATAATTAGTATAAAGTTATTTAATTATTCAGCTATTGTACAAAAATGGGAGCAACTTCATGAATTGTTAACCGCTACATTATATAATATTTCTCGAACAAACATGGCTGCCTGATTATGTACGAACAAAAATTAAAACTTTTGTTGATGACTAAATTTTAAGTTTAAAAACAATTTCCTAATGTACAAAATATTAGAACTGAATATCTATGGCATGGGAATATCTTCAAGATATAAAATATACTAAGATTTAACGACTTTCTGTGTACAAATACTAATGCACCTTTATTTCAAGATGTGTCGTAAATAACTTAGATTCGTGTAGACAGTTATTATGTGATATGATAAATGACATATGCATAGACTTGAGAAAGGCGTAATGTAAAGTTTGCATGGACATTGTTGTTAAGAGCTTTAAAAGCAATATTTTATTCAGTATTTAAGTGAGGTGGGTGCATCAGTAACAATCCCATTATGCAATATCATGAAACTAATTTTGATAATGAAATAAATATTGCATAACCATAGTGAAAAAAAAACAAAGTATTCCATACTTAGTTCTAATAATGTAGCTTATGCGATTTTTCATAATTATTAATATTTTTTTATGAATAAATAATGTGGCATTTCGCTATGTGCCTATGAAGAACCAAGTTGAAGATGGCATGTATATCGCTTTGAGTTATGATCACATGGTTGGTAGAAATACAGCAATACTATCAAACGTAAAAGATTGGAGGGAAATGCAAAAAAATGTTAATATTTAGGTTTGAAAATTGAAT